GTGGCCTGGGTTTAGGCCCCTAAGTTCCTGGGACCTTGGCCTACCCTGGCTATCCGCCCTGGACTGGCAGCGTCAAGGATGCCTTCTTTCCAGCAGCATTTCCCTCTGTGGCCATCCCAAGTGAGGACATACCTTGGCCTTCCTTGGGTCAGGCAGACTGTCACCCACTGGCCTCATTTGCACCTTGAACACAACCTTGGACTGCCGCTTCCCCAGTCCTACTTCCTTAGTCTTCAGCAGTATGTTATGGGCCAGCTCCCTGCCCCTCCACTGAACCCTTGTTTCCAGCCACACCTGTGTTTGACTCTCCCACTCCCCAGATTCCCCCCCAGCCCCCGCCGTGGGTCTCTGGTTGGCCAAGTTCAGGAAGGCTCCCCTGGTGGGGCAGACCCACGCAGATAGGCCTGGAAGACTAGTGCCTGCAGCTCGCAGAGCTCAAAAGGTTGGCGTCACATTTCTAACCCTTGACCTAAAGAACTGGTATTTGGGAGGATTTGCACCGATTAGGGCTCATCGCAATGCCAGGGAGGAGGGGCAGGGTACCACTGGGCCCAAGTCGCAATCTTGGGACTCTGGAATGGTCTTCGTGGCCCGTTGTAATTTTCTGGGCTCACAAGCGTGGCCACCCCGCTGCGGGGTGACCCACCTAGCCGCAGCGAGAGCTGTCCGTTTCTCCTACGAGCACCTGACTTTGGGCATTTCGATGTGTCCCTCCACTGCTCCTCAGCCCACTTGTCCTTTTTTTGTTTTCAGGGAAAAAAAAAAATTCCGGAAAAGCGGCACCTCCCCAAAATGGGAGCTTCTAACTGGCCTAGGGGGTTACTTTTTGCGTGACTCACTGGGCTAAGTTAACCAGGTGCCTGCGCGCAAGCGGAAGCCTGCTGCTGCTTTTCAGAGGTATCTGCAACTCCTCGGAGTGGGGTAGAAAGATTTCTACATAGTGTTACCTTCTGCAGAATTCTAGCTTCTCTGCCGGGCGCCGGCTTTTCCGCCCTCTAGTCTAGCGTGGAAGCGGTTCGACCGCACCCTGGAGCGTGGTCCCTCCTACCCATAGAAAGGAGCCCCTGTGTGCGCCGCTGCGGGCCGTCTCTCCGGCCTCCTCCGGTGCCGCGCAGACCTGGCTCCCGGCACTCGCCGGAGAGCGGCTCCTCCATCCCTTCTAACGCGTGAATCGGGGAACGAAGACAAGCCCAGGTTTTGACCCGCTCCTGTAGTCGACTCTTGAGGGGGCAGAACTCACCAGACACCCGGACAGGAATATTTGCAGTAGGAATAAAGTCAGGTAAAATGCCGGGGACCGCCACCCTGCAGATGTCCAAGGAGTAGGTCCTCCGTGCGTCCTTCCCCTGAACTTCTTAGGGGCAGGACAAGACAGACCTTTTGGCCTGGCCAAACTGATCAGGCACATACATGAAGATATTTGTCCTCTGGACAGTGGGATGGGGAACTAGGGGTGAGGAAAGCAAGAAGAAAAGCAGGGGAACTTGCAACCACAGCGGAGGTCAGCATTCTTGGAGAATGGCGCTGGGAAGTACCCACAACGCTCTGGCTTCTCCAACATATGGCCCTGCCCTTTCTCCCTCCGTAAATAGCATGTTAATTACAGACTTGCTGCTATCCAGATACCATTTCTCCCTAAATCGAGTCCCCGTTTTTTGCCTGGGATTCGCGTTTTCTTCCCCTTCTCTCGGTCCTCACTGTCAGGCCGTGTCAGGCAGCAGCCAGGTGGGGCCTGGCAAAGTTTTAGCTTTATACCTTCTGGCTAAGGTCTGCCCCAGATTCGGCCCAGCTGAAGCGTATTTAGGCCCTGCATTCAGGTACCTATTGTGCTTGGTGCTGATTTGGGAAGTCTCCCTTTCCTTTTCTCCTATGCCACACCCAGTCCACAGAAAAGGGGCAAAGAGAACTTGGAATTACAAGGGCTAGGTTGACAGTGTCCCTCTCTAGCTGTCCTATTCCACGGACAGCCTGCAAGACTAGTCCCGTTTTGAGGTCTTGGTATTAAAGATGGTGCGCATGGTTAAAAGAACACCGTAGAGATTAGGGTTCCAGGCTGTGCCATGCCGGGCCAGAACCCTGTTTGAGTGTTCGGGCAAGGCAGCGCGGTCGCAGTATGCACTCCGCATAGCCCGTGTTGCGCGTGACGGCCTGTCGCTGCGATGTGCAGCTCATTGACACTGATGGATGCGCCAATGGTTGGACGGACAGATGTTAGGGCGGATCGCACCGCGCGCGGCGCCTGAGCGGGGGAGGGCGAGCTAGCGATCGGGCGGTGGCTGCGAGCGGTTCGGAGACAGGAGCTCAGGCCGCGGCCCGCAGGGGGAGGGGGCGGAGGGAACGAGGTTTGGAGAGCAGCGCTGGGAAGGAAAGGAGGAGGGGGAGCATAAGCCAGGGCGAAACTCTCAGCCTTCCGTGCGCAGCGCCCAGCGCTGTGCACACATCACTACCGGCGCGCTTAAGTGGTTGCTCCGCGTTGGGAAGGTGAGCGGGGGGCGGGCAGGAGCTGACCTCGCAGGGCACCTACCCTCCTCCAGGCAAGAGGCTCCCAGCGCCGCGACCAGAACCGAGAGGCCGCGGGCGGCGTCTGCCAACTCACCGTTTCCTCGTTCGCAAGAAGCGTTTCACGCCCCACGGCCGCGTCTCCCGGGCCTGGAGGGGCAGTAGCTTTAGCCTCTGCGGCCGCAGGCACCAACTGCTCGCCGCGCCCCCGCCCCCGAGTCAGCCACACACTCGACCAGCCCGGGAGCCCAGCAGCAGCCCGATTCCGACTCCCCCGCAACCGCCTGGGGTCCGCACCCCGCAACTCCAAGCGCTCCTGCGCGCGCGAAGGCGCTGGAGGCGGCTTTATAGCCCGGGAGGACTGCAGCGGCACATCTGCATTCAAGGAGGCGTCTGGACCGAGCCCAAGCCCGCAGGCTGGGGGCGAGAGGAGACTTTTGATCTTACCGTCTGGGTGAGATCACGGTCTCCTGGTCTAAAAGAAAAGAAAGCATGCCTGTGAACTTTTAAAACAAACTTACATAAACAATCACAAAGAAAAAAAGATACAGAGAGGGGGCAGAAGAAAAGGGGGAAAGAAACACAAGAAAAGGAAACATTTAAAAAAAAAAAAAAAAGGAAGGAAGGAAGGGAAAAAAGGAAGGAAGAAGGCCGGGGTTTGCAGCTCCAGGAACGCTCCGGCAGCCAGTCCCAGGGCGCGGGGCTCTGGCCCTCTCCGGGACTGTCGGACGCGAGGCCCAAGGGAGCCCCCGGGCCCCAACCGGCGCGCCCAGGAGCGACGCCACCTCGGGGGCCGTGGGCCTGGCGGCCGCCCCCACACCCCCACCACCGCCGCCCGGCAGCGCCGGGAGCCAGCCCCGCCGCGGCCGCCCCATTCCCGGCCCAAGAGCTGGCCCAGGGAGACGCAATCGAGCCCGCAGCGCATCGATGCGCCGCCGCCCGCGCCGCTCCGGCTCCGGCTCCCGTTCAGCCGCCGCCGCCCGGGGGTCGTCCCAATGAGCTCCGGCCCACCCGCGCCCTCGCGGCCGCCCGTAAGTGAGCCCGCGTCGCCCTGCCGCCAACGCAGCCCCGCCAGCTCCTCCTCTCCGCGGCCCGTCTGTCCGGCCCGCTCGGCGCCTCAGCGACCCCAATCACCCAATCAATAATCAATTCTTTTCGCCCAGTACTGGTGGCAAGGCGGGCGCTGGGCGCGGTGGCCCCCTCTCGGGGGCGCCCCGGGACGGGGGATGGGCTTGAGAGCCCGAGTTCCTTCCCCCGCCCCCGTCCCGCCCTCGGATCCGCCAGTGCTAGGGGTGGGGGCGCGGCCGGGCGCCTGGGGGCGAGGGGCGGGGTGGGGGTGGAGGGACTGCGATCTTCCCAGGCAGAGGAGGAAACTTGGAAGCACCCCCTCCCACACCGACCCCCGGGACGGGCCCGGGAAAGTTTGCCCGGGAAAAAAAAATTGGGGGAAGTGGCGGCGGCGGGTCCCGGGGGAGGAGCCCGGGTGGCGCGGGGTCTGAGAGCAACCCCCACCCACTCCGGCCCGCGCCCGCCTCCTCCCTCGAGGGCGCCGGCGCCCGCCCGCGGGCCCTGGCATCCCCGGGGGGCGCGGGCCCAGGCCCGGGGAGCGAGCTGGGGGCTTTGGACGCGGCGGGTGGAGAGGAGTGCGGCTTGGGCGGGGCAGCGGGGGGCGGCCAGGGGGCGAGGCCGGGTGGGGAAGCCGGGCGGGCGGGGGTAAGCGAGCGCCCCGGGACAAGCTGGGCCGGGCCGGCGCCGCGCCCCTGCGTGCGCGCACTGGGCGGGGGCGGAGGGGCGGCACCCCCTCCCCGGACGGGGCGGGGGTCCTAGACAGGCCCGGGGCCGGGAGCGGGGGCGCGGCGCCCCCGCGGGCGGGCGAGTGACACGATCATCTCCTTTTCCTTTAAGCTTGCCTGTTGCCGACGCCGCCGCTCCAGCCGCGCCGCGGGCAGGAGACTGGACCGCTGAGCCCCGGGCCGCGGCGGCGGCTGAGCGCCCCCCCGGATGCCGTGACCCTCTGCCCGGGGGCGGGGGCCGGGGCAGGACCGGCCAGGGCCGCTCCCGCGCTCCTCCTCCCACCCCCTCTGCCCGCCTTCTCCCCCTCTCCCCGCCCCCGGGCCCCGAACCCCGCGCACCTCGTCTGGGGACGGGGCGGGGGGGGGCAGGGCCGCCGTTCCTCCCCGCCCCCTCTTCCTCGGGCCTCTGGAGCGATTTGTCAAACTTCCCATTCCGCCCGCAGCGCGGTCCTCCTCCTCCTCCTCCTTCACCACCTCCTCCTCCTCTGCCTCCTCCTCCCCCCGCGCTCCTCCCTCCCCGCGCCTCCCTCGCCCGCCCTCCTTCTTCCCTCCGCACGTTCGGGGATCGCGGCTGAGCGCGGAGAGGGGGGGACGCGGAGAGCCGGGGCGCAGCAGCATCCTGCGGGCGGCCGCTCTCCGGGGGGGAGGCTGAGAGCCGGCCCGCCTCGCCCCCCCGCGGGCCCGCCGCCCCTCCCTCCCTCTCCTCAGCCCGGCAGCGGCGGCGGCGGCGGCGGCAGTGGCAGTCGCCGGAGGAGCATCATGCCGAGGAGGAAGCAGCAGGCGCCCCGGCGCGCAGCAGGTACGAGCCGCTTCCCCTTCCTCCTCCTCTTCTCCTCCTCCTCTTCCTCTCGCCGCGGTGCGCCTCCGGCCGGCGGCGACCCCGCTCTTCGCCCCACTCCTCGCCCCTCTCCCTCTGCCCGCGCAGAGTAACTCCGGGGCGCCAGGCTCGCTCTCTGCTCTGCTCTCTGGGTGCGTGTGCCCGCCTCGCGTCCCGGGCGCCCCCCGGACGCCCCGCCGCGCTAGCCCTGCTCGGGCTCGCACCCACTTCGGGAGCCGCGCGCGCTCGGGGCCAACTGAACCGGGCTGGGTCCCTGCCCCTTCAGCTCTACGGCTGCGGAGGGGATGGGAAGGAGCCCTCTTCGGTCTCTTTCTGTGGGGGGCGGGCGGGGTCACCTGAGTTCCCCGGGACACCTTCCGCGTCCTCCCGCGGCCGGCCGGCGGGGGACAGCCCGGTGTCTGCCGAGCGAAAGAGAGCCAGCGAGTGAGCGAGCGGATCCCTTCGGCCACCTTACTGCTAATCCGATTGATTCTTCATTTATTGGGCCCAACGCGGGCAAGCGGTGGAAGCCAGAGCGCACAGGGTCTGGGTATTGTCAGATGACTGTCAAGTCAATGTTAGATGCTGGCGTTCTCTGTATCCGTGTTTGTTTTCCCTTACCCTCACCCCTCCTTCCACTGCTTCCCCCACCCTCATCTTCTCGTAGCACTTAGTTCTGGGACGTGTCTCTGTACTTTCAACCCCCCCCCCTTTTTTTTTTGCCAGGAGTGTCAGCTCCTGTTAAGACTGAGCCGATTTTTTTTTTTCCTCTTTTCTGGAAAAAGCATCATTCAAAACAACAAAACCCACACACATAACATTATTTTGCAATAATGTCAGTTGGGGGCATGTTGCCTGGAAGAAGGGTTTCTGGCCCTTTGCCACCCTTGATTTGATGACTGATTGATCGCCCGTCATGCTGCTGCCTTTGATCTATTCATTCCCAATAAACATCAATAAATCACTCGCAATGGTGAGGCCAAGCTCTGTGACGTCACTAGGGCCCTGTCAGTGCAACTTTGGGGATTTGGGACGGATTGCTGAGAGGACCACATATGGACGGGATGTATTTTGATATGAGTAACACTCAGAGGCACAGAGGTTCAGATGCTGCCTGAAGCCTGAACGGGAGGGTTCAGTGGTGGTTCATGTCTTGTCTTTTCTGTTCTTCTCTTTTGGTGGAAGAAGGGAGAGCAGAGGGCAGGGTCAGGGCATTGCCTGGCTCCCTTCTTGGATGAAGACGTTGTGCCCATGCTGCCCCCGAGTGCCTGTGGCAGCTGTGGGGGTGACGGTGATGGTCATTGCCATCATGTGAGCCGACATTGGCCGTGGAGCTCACACATTGGCTGCACTCTGAACTGGAGTCTCCTTACACAGGGTCACGCAGAGGGAACGCTCTTTCTTCTACCAGAAAATGTACTCTCTTGTTCGTATCTTAAGAAAATCCTCGAAGAAAACAGACGTGGTTTGGGGACATATCGTTGCAGGTTTTGCTCTCTGTCTCAGTGTCACCCAAATTTTGGAAGTTTGAAAATCCCTGCGGTGGTTCTAGGGAGGGTGCTGGCACTCAGGTCACCTCCTGGCTGATGCTACTTGCCCATTCCACCTTCTCCTTTAAATTCCCAGCTCAAGCAATGAGCTTATCTACCCAAAATAAACTCTAAAAGTTTGGAGGACTCCTTCACAAAGTTGGGCAGTAGGAGTGTCTTGGGCTTCTTCCAGTCTTTTACATTTTTTCTTTCCCTTTTGGATGCACATTTTAAGGTATCTGTGTGCCTCAATCAAATGAACCATATGTGATTACATCTTTACATTTAGTTTAGAACTCTCTACGGTTGCTTCATCTTTTCTCCTCCACCTTGCCAATCTGAGACTCTTCTAGGATAACTTTCTGCTAAAAATGTTAGCGAAGGAGGAAATGTACTGTCGATTTTATTTATTTATTTATTTTTTTAAAGCAACCTGTTCCCTAACCTTTTGCACCTTTTAAAAAAACCAGCCAGGAAATCACAGGTCAGTTAAGAAATATTCATTATATAAAAACTTGACTGCCCGGCTAATAGGAGATGGAAGAATGGTTTTGCTCTATCAAAATGACCCGTCAAAACGACTTTGTTTCATATTTGATTTAATTGTCTCTCTCCTGACAGGCACATTCATCAATAGCTTAATGGTCAATCAGAAGTTGGCAGCCTGAGTGCTTTCTTTCTTTCCCATACCCTGGTTTTGGATTTACTTTATCAGAATGCCTCTGCCTAATGGACGCGTGAGGAGGGGGTGGAGAATGTCTGAAGGGCTACTTATTTAAGAAGAGGGGAGGGATGAAAAAAACAAAACAAAACAAAAAAACCAAAAGAAAAAAAAAAACGTTCCACATTTAGGCCATCGCTAAGTATGCGCAGGCCAATAAGTGAACTGCCTGAGGTTTTTGTTTGTTGGTTGGTTTGGGTGCAGGAGAAACTTCCCATTTTTTTCCACCTCCTGTTTTTAGTTCTCACAGCTGCAAGTTATAAGGTTCATGCCTGCTTTTGTGGCATCCTGGGAGTGATGGCAAATTGATTGCTTTGCACTGATAGAGAGTGGGAAAAAGAAAGATGTCTGCTGATTGGTAACTGGAAATCCAGTCCCCAGCAACCTTGAGAATACTCGAGAATTTTTTTTTCCCCTCCAAACTGAAAGGTCCGCTCAGCCATAAAAAAAGAAAAGTTGTTTTGCCAGCTTCATTAGTGTTCACCTAATTAGCTGTAAACCTGATGGATTCCTGACAGCTTTAATGATTGGAGATGACAAGCTCGACGCAGTGTCATCCAGCAGAATTAGGTTTGCAGCTAGTTTGATGTAATCAAGTTGATATTACACAGTCCTGGCTGCCTTTAGTTGTGCATTAACTCAATTTTCTTCTGCAGGTGACAAATGGGCTTTGGTACCTGGATAATCATGTCATAGGAATTAGGGCCCTTTTAATGGTCTGGGGTAGAATAACAACCACAAAGGGCTGAGAGCTTGGAAGAGTGCAGACCTAGCACACAGGTGCATACAGTTTTCATATCTAGGCCAAATGTAACATTGCTCTCCAGAAGGCCAGAGCAGCCTCCAAGAATCCCTGAAAAGATGTATTTCTGTACTTTAGGATTTTCTTTCTTTCTTTCTTTCTTTCTTCCTTCTTCTTCTTCTTCTTCTTCTTTTTTTTTTTTTTTGTTAGAAATTTTGCTGGGATAGTATTTAAGCCTGTGTGTTCTCAAAGGGAGAGAGATGTTTCTTCACCTGCCGAAGAGAAACCTGGGCAGGAGTGTCCTTTCTCCAGGCGTGTCATTCCAAAGGGCCATACATTTTTTTGCCGGCCAGATGTTTTTGCCTCAGAGGAGGAGGATTGGAGAGGCCCCTGTCCTTCAGGCGAAATGACCATTGTCCCTTGCTCGAAATGGGACTCTTACCTGGGCGTGATTTTTTTTTAAAACAAGTATTCTTTGAAGATCCCAGAAAAAAACAAAAAACAAAAAAAACGAGAGCAGTATCTCATAGCAGATAACATTTTATCCATTCACATCCATTTTCTGGGGGAGAGGGACTTTAAAATCTTTAAAAAAAAAAATTGCCTTAACTTGCAAAAAAAAAAAAAAAGTCCTCAGTGAACAACAACTTGCCATTGACCTTTCGAGTCTTAGTCGCTGAAAGAGAATACTCTTACAAGGAGTTCTTGGGTGGTCACATCAAGAGGGGAAACCTTTAAACATCTTGATTTTTGTAAGTGTTCGGAACCCCTTAGGTTCTGTTGGTGTTCCAGATCGCCGTGGGGCCCTGGGGGCAGGGTGGGCTTGCAGTGGTAAGGCAGGGGGTGGTTCACAGCGCCTGTGGGTGTGGGCTTGCCTAAAGGGTAGGGGCATGGTGCTGTCCATGTCTGGCCGTCCGGGCCTTGGTAAGGCTCGTCCATGCACGGGGCAGCTCCTCTTCTCTGTCGGAGGCACGTGGAGCCTTCAGGAAGGCATTTCGGCGTTAGCCCTGGGAATGTATTTGCTCTCAAGCTTGCCACACATTTCTCCTTTGGACAGGTACTCTGCCCTGTGGCAAGGTGACAAGATGACTGGTTCAGGCTGCTCTGTGACCCATCCCCCCAACCCCCACCAATTTTTCTACAACATGGGAGGAACAATGCACCTTTTAAAAAAGAAAATCAAGAAGACGAAGGAGAAAAACAAAGAGGGTGGGAGGCAAGACTATCCCCCTGGACATCCACCTAGGGGAGGGAATCTTCCAGAATCAGCTGCTGTGCCCCCCATTATCTTGACAACTGTCAGTTAGGGCTTCAGTGCTCTCCAGGGCCACAGTTGATTGTGAGCGGTGGATGTTGTCATTTTGTTCTCGGCGTTGCCTTGAGTACGCTCATGAGCGAGCGATAGTCAATAACTTGCGTACCAGCAGCTCTTCCCCAAATTGTCTCACACGCCTGCCTTTTCCCTCTTTTTACCAAAGATTGTTTTGTAAGGCGATTAGAATGAAAGGTGACTGCTCAGGGCCATGGGGACGCCCGGGAAAAGCCCAGGTGAGGTCCCAGAATCAAAGACCTTCCTTCCTCTCCCCACGCCCCCCCACCCCCACCTCCACTCCTGAGGTTTCTGGAAGGAGAAGGATCACCTTCTTGAGGGCAAAGTTCCTGCACTGTTTTGGGGCTGGGGGCTTCCCCTTCCACCCTGGTGGTGACAGAGCCAGGCTGGGGCGAGGGCTGCGGTCACAGGCAGGGGAGCAGGAGGGACGGGAGCAGAGTCCCTGTCCTGGTGTACAACAGCCATGTTCATCCAGGGACATGAGCAGGTCACAGTTATTCTGAGTGCAGATTGCGAGGCTTTTCTGCCGGCCTATTCTTATTCCTGCCTATCACTGGACAAACTATAAAAATAGCTTTGGTCCGGTAGTAAAAAAAAAAAAAATAAAGTAAATAAATAAAAGAAGGAAGAAAGAAAAGAAAAATAAAAAAGAAGTAGGGT